TGAGTTTGAGAAATGGCAGGTGGGACTGAAGGATGAGGAGAGCCTCGAGGTAAGAAATGCTCCTGTTTATTTTTTATTTTTTTGCTCCTGATGTCAGTCTGTCAAAAAAAACAAACATGTCTATATTTGATGATTTGTGTATTTCTCCCCCTCAGGTAACAGAGTTAGCCACAGTTAAGAGGCCTCAGGAGCGAGCCTATGCTCTCCAGCAGTGGCAGGAGTCGGGTGGCGTTATGATCATAGGTTATGAGATGTACAGAAATCTGACGCAGGGACGAAACATCAAGAGCAAGAAGCTAAAAGAGACGTTTCAGAAAACGCTTGTGGATCCAGGTACAATTTGTGTAAACAATAATAAAAAAAAAAAATCTCTTGTGGCTTTATTATGGCTGGAAGGTTGGTGGTTGGGATGGAGGTGTGAGGTAATCTAAATCTGAGGTTCACTAAGGTCTAGATTGGATTTAACAATAAGGTCAAAGCAAATTCCTTTGATTAAAATTGCATGAAAAATGCCATCAGAATTGGCCTGAAAATACTCTAGACTAATAGAATTAGTCTATTCTTATTTTGGACAGTAAAGCAAGGAATCTAGCTAAATTTGATTTAACTTAGTTACTTTTTATGGCTAAATAAAACTAATTCATTTATGAAAAAGAAGCTGATCTTAATGTGCAACAAGGTGCTGTAACGTCTTTTTTTAACACATTGTTTTAGGAGATAATCTGAATTTTGTTAATGTCTAAAGTTCCAGACACTGAGAATAATTGAATGTTTTTGTAATATAAACTTGTTAGTATTTTTCCTTTACTTATGAGCATAAAGTAAAAAAAAAAAACCCCTCTTAGATAGTTGAAATGAACACATTTATCACTATTAAATCATCTGCAATTGTGGCTAACATTGATTTGCTTCCCCTCTGTTTTGATATGACCCATTGATAATTAGACACCTGCAGAGATTATGTAGGAATTTTCTTTGTGAAGTATAGAAGTCTTTTTCTAACAAATTTCTTAATTCTGCATGATTCCAAATTTTACAGTGACTTTGTGCCCAATGCCATAGTTTGTTTTGTGGCTTAAAAACAAGTTCCTTCTGGGTCTGGATTTGAGGATTTTCTGTTTTACTGTAGCTGAAAAAGAGGTCTCTGTGAAGCTGATAATGTATAATTGTCCTAATTTTAGGTCCAGACTTGGTGATCTGCGACGAAGGCCACGTTCTGAAGAACGAGGCTTCTGCCGTCTCCAAAGCAATGAACTCGATCAGGACGAGGAGGAGGATCGTCCTGACTGGAACTCCTCTGCAAAACAACCTCATTGAATGTGAGACACTTTTTGTGTCTTGGACTCCAAAATTGAGATTTAAAAAGAAGAAAAAATTCTCAGCATTTTGCATGAGATTTAAAAGTTAAAATCTTGCTGCAGCAGGTGGCAGCTCAAACTGAACCTGATGTTTCTATAAATTTCTCAATGCTTGATCAGTAATAACGCATTTTAATTAATTCAAGATGTAACGTGTCCTCTTCAGACCACTGCATGGTGAACTTCATCAAGGAAAACTTGCTCGGGTCGGTGAAGGAGTTCAGAAACCGCTTCATTAACCCCATTCAGAACGGCCAGTGCGCCGACTCGACGCTGCATGACGTCCGGATTATGAAGAAGAGGGCGCACATCCTCTATGAGATGCTGGCCGGCTGCGTTCAGGTAAGAAGCTCTCAACCAACGGACTCGGCCTCTGCTCGACCTTTCTCCTTTTCACCTCTTGGAATAACGCTTTGTTCCTTCTCCCCGCTCAGAGGAAAGATTACTCGGCGCTCACCAAGTTCCTGCCTCCCAAGTACGAGTATGTGCTGTCGATCAGAATGACCCCGCTCCAGTGCAAACTCTACAGACATTACCTGGAGCACTTCACAGGTGAGGATGTTTGGGGATCTTTTTCTAATCTTTTGCAGCAGGATCCTGCAGGGCGTCGTGTTTCCAGTAAAAGTTCTCTTTACCTGATGTCAGTTCCACAGAGAGGGATTTCAGAAAGCTCTTCTGGACTCTCTCTCTTATTTTTTGTCATGCATTGAGTAGTTTAGTGGACTTCGCTGTCAGATTGTGGCCCAGGACGTGCGTGTGTGTGTGTGTATATATGTATTAGAGTTGAAGTGGCAGCTGGCACTGTGCCGCAGGCAGGTTTTAAGCCCACTTTCCCACGTTTCTCCCTAATGAAGAGCACTGGGAGAGAGGGAGGGAACAGAAGAAAAGGGGGAGATGTGGGAGCATAAAAAAGGAGAGAAATCTAGCTGAAGTAGGGGCCAGAGGTTTTACACCAAAACCAAAAACAAAGAACAGGAGAGCTTGGTATGCGGTGGGGGGGGACTGGTGGTATGCGCCCCGGCTCGTTAGGCTGAGATGACCACAGTGCTGATGTTGTGGCTGTGGACGCTTCACAGTGGGGTCTTCAGGCCAATTTCAGCCGTAAACGGTAACCTCTCGCTTCCTGGGGTCACCGCAGGCCATCTTGTGACATAGAAGAAACGGGGTGTGGGGGGGGGGAGGAGAAATCGGAACAAGAAATTAGTTTATAGTTTTAGGCTGGAAATAAAACAATCATTTTGGTTTGTTTGCTTGTGAGCAGATTGAGATCATGCTGCATGTGAGGTGAACACACATTCATCTTCCTGCGTGTGCTTTTTTTTTTTTCTTTCTTCCTCCCTTTCCCCCCCTTGCGTGCAGGTGTGGGGAATGCTCTGGAAGGGGGCCGGGGCCGAGCGGGAACCAAACTCTTCCAGGATTTCCAGATGCTCAGCAGGATCTGGACCCATCCCTGGTGCCTTCAGCTGGACTACATCAGTAAAGAAAACAGGGTACGGCTGGGGAAAGAGGAGCATTCAATTTTATATTAAAAACTGGGTACAAATCACACACGGACAGTGGGGAAGCTGTTGAAAATGTTTTACTGACGGATCAAATTGCCCACGTGTTCTTTTACACCAGCGCATTATATCTCGTTTCGGTGCAGGGTTACTTCGACGAAGACAGCATGGATGAATTCATCGCTTCAGAAACCGAGGAATCCTCCATGAGTCTGACCTCGGAGGATGAGAAGGCGAAAAAGTAAAGTTGGATTCACTTTTACCCCCCCCCCCATCATAGCTGTATGCCAGCAGTTTTCTGTACGACTATCAGTCCCTCTTTGTTTATTGACGGTTGTGGCCTTTTGTTTCTGCACAGCACTTTTCAGGTCCCAGAATAAAATATCAGTCAGGTTGATATCTAGACTTGATTTGATCTTTTTTTTTCCCCAAGGTATTCTGTCATAGATTTGCTGCTGTTTGGGATAATTTTTCTGCTTCCCAAACAGATTTATGACAGGTTAGCTCACATTTGACTCAAGAAGGGTTGATAGTCGAGTTTTCTACAAAGTTATTTTTTCCCTATTACAGTTTCACGTAGAGAAACCCATTGTGCTTTTAGAACCACAGGGAAAGAAAAGGTGTACTTTTTTCCCTCTTGATTGTAAACCGTTTTGACCTTTCTCAACTTTCTCACATCTCGGATCAGTAACTCAACCCGACGTTTGTGTCTTCCACTGCTCTGCATTTCCAACAGGAAAAAGAAGCAGGGAAAAGGCAGGAAGAAGGGCTCCGACGACTCGGACAGTGACGAGGTGGAGGTCATCAAGGAGTGGAACAGCAGCTCTCGTGGCAGGAACGGAGAAGGTCGAAGCCAACCCGAGCCGGTTGAAGAACGTAAGTTTGTTTTTGTTCGTCCTTGCTGTGAGATTGGACCCAGAGTATAATTAAATGATGCGATTATTTTCGCCAAAGCTTCCCTGCGAAATATTATTGGGGTACAAAGAGCACGGCCTTGTCTGAAACCAATAACGCAGATCTCCACCATCTTTTTTTAATCATTTGTGTTCCTGAGCCGAGTACTTGGACAGATGAGACGAGAGCTGCGTAAAGAAAACAACTGTTGTACGCTGCAGCTGTCTAGTAACCCAGATGTTAATGTCTGATTTGCAGTTTGTGATTCGGCACTAAACTAAAAGGGCTAATTCACAGAGTGTTTTTTTTGTTTGAAGGATTCTGGACTGCTTTTGATAATGTCTTGTTTACCATCTAAAATACTTAAGCTACACCTGGTTTTTGTCGTTTTGGCCAGTCATGCACATTCCCATTTATAACACTTTCCACGTGCGGCACAGGTGGCACTCCCCAGAAAGGAAGCAAACATTTCGTTTCCAAGCAAATGCGTGGTTGAATTGAGGGATTAATTGCTGCAAAATGCTACGCTCGCACTTCAATAAAGACAGAAAATGTTTCACAAATACAAGTCGGAGTCGTTCTTTAGGAATGCTCTTCCTCACCAGACAGTTCTGCTGTCAGTTGTTGAGTACAGGATTATTTTATCTGCAGGGAATTTCCTGCATCTCCAGTAAAGACATAAACTTCAGTAAGAAGTACTTGATGTCCGAATTCTTTTAAGACGTCTGATGCGTAGAGATGTAACCGAGCCTTGATCTGTGTTTCTACCCCGAGCAGCCCGGGCAGCCAACTCCACGCCAGGGAGTCCCTGCTCTGCCGACTGGTACAAGGAGTTTGTGACGGAGGCCGACTCTGAAATCCTGGAGCACTCAGGAAAGATGATGCTGCTTTTTGAGATCCTGCGCATGGCTGAGGAAACGGAAGATAAAGTGTAAGAATGCTTTTGCCATGTGGAACATAAAAAACGTGGCTTCGTCGAATCCCAGTGCTTTAAATTAACATTGAGACCACTTTTGTCATCAGGTTGGTGTTCAGTCAGTCGCTCATCTCTCTGGACCTGATAGAAGATTTTCTAGAACTTTCCTGCAGAACAGAGGAGGATGAAAAACTTTCTCCGTACAAAGGTTACCTTTCACTCATATTTCTGTTGCGTTTTAGTAACTGACCTTTTGTTTGTCTATAGCTACCTGTTCTATTTAAAAGATGCTGAAATTACATAACATTTCTGATGGTAAACAGCTACTGACTTTGGTTTAGAATAGTGCATTAGACTTAGAAAAATAAAGCAAATGTCAGAGGATGCTGAAGCTCTCCAGCATGTTTCTTGCTGGTTGTGGTTTGCCTGTTGCCCTTAAACCCACTCAGATACACACACACACGCACGTTGCTGCTGTTGTTTTAAGGTCATGTTTCTAATTAAACTTCAGCAGCTGTTTTTGCTTTCATTTTGAAAATGATTAGAGCTCGGGCTTTTTTTTT